AAATAGAAGCTTATTATATAGAAGTAAGTATACCTACTAGAACTTAAACTTAACTAGCTATATTACTTATTCTATATATAGTTTTATCTCTATATAGTTAATTATTTCTCTATTAAGGGACTAATAGGCTTAATACTTAATAAGATTAATACAAAAGGCTATAAAGAGATATAGTCTCTATTATAGTATATATCTAAAAGGTATTTCTACTATTTACTAAAAGTACTTTTTATATATTTAATTTAGTAAATTAAGGATTCTATCTTTATTATCTTACTTTTAAAAGTATATAAAGTTAAATAGAATAAGCTAGGCAGTTTAGGTAAGTATAGATAGATTACTGTTAAAGTTCCCTGGTTTATACTATATATACCACTTATACTACTTATTATCTACCTAATATATTAAAGCCTTCTTTTAATTAAATATAATATAAAAGCTTAAAATAGCAGACTAAAATAGCCTATTTCTAACAGTCTGGCAGATAAGTAAGATATAAAATTTATAGATAGTATACTTTAACTTAATATTGCGTTTATTATAATTACTATTAGCTATACCCTCCTCCTTATTATAACTCAATATCTACTTTACTGCCTTATTATGCCTCTATAATATATTAATAATATCTCCTATAGCTTATTGCTATAATAAGGTTATTTTAATTATATCCTGCAGTACTATATAATTTTTACTCTTTCTTATAAAATGGCTATTAATATAATATATTACTTAATAATAGTATACTAAAAGCTACTTTATAATCTAGAAATAGGAGGTAAAGGATAACTTATTCTTAAAGCTATAGAATTTACTAGCTTTTATATTACTTATATAATTATTATTACTATAGAAATTGCTTAGCCTCTTTATGTATTACTGCATTATCTTGCAATTAGGTAATTTATTACTATATAATTTATATATATCTTTAAGTATACTTTTAGCTGCAGTAATAATATACCTAAAATTGACTATATTTATATTACTAGCACTGCCCTTTTCTTCTTTATTATCCTTATTCTTATCCTTATTATTATTATTACCTACCTTTTATAGTAATATATATAATAATATAATCTTAATATTATAAAGACCTTTTAGGTATATAGAAAACCTAATATAAATAAGCTAGGGCATTTAATTAGCCTGTAATGCCTTAATATCCTATATAATCTTGGCCTCTATATTTAGGTTATATAAGGCCTTAATAATATTAGCCTTTAGGTCTTTAAATAGCTTTCCCTCTTCCTATAATATAAAGGCTATAGCCAGGCCTAACCCTACTAGCACTACTTCTATTATTAATAGAGATAGGTCTTCTTTAATTAGAAAGTAGTTAATAAGGCCTTTAGCCATAAAGTATATTTAGAGCTTATATATCTTCTAGAGAGGTATAGCATTTATATACTTTAAGGCCTTTTTTCTATAAATTAATATATAATTATATATTTTCCTGGCTTAATATATATAATAGTTATATTAAATTTCTATATAGATATAGATATAGCCTCTATATATAGTAAGGCCCTCTATTAGCCAGCAAGGCCTCTTTCTATTAGCCCTTTACTGCTATAATGCCTTAAGTAGGCACAGTTTATAGCTTAAAAACCGCTTAACTATTAGTTATAATTTATTACCTTTTATTTAGTATAGCTTAGCCCTTAAGTAACTCCTCTAGCTTATTTATTTTAGAACTAGATATATTCTATAGATACAGTAGACTATAATTTAATAATTAGTATTATAGAGGAAGCTATTAAGACCTATAGTAGGTAGATTTACTTAAAGATAATAATAATAACTTATATTTATTTTTATATTATTTTCTAAAAAGAATAAAAAGAAGCCTTAATATTATATTATTTTATTATCTATATAATAAATATTTTATTTATTACTATAACTGCAGGTAGTTATTATATTATATAATTCTACTACTTACTTTACCTTTATTTTATTCTCTATCTATCTATCGATTTAAACTTTATGCTTATTATACTTTACTTAATTCTATTTAATTAGTATTAACCCTTTTACTAAAATCCCCTTTTACTTAATGCCTGCTATACCCCTATTAATGCTATATTATTTCCTAGCTGTATTATACTGTATAGGGTACTTCCAGATCTAACTAGGGCTGCCCCTTTTATTAAAAGAGTCTCAACTTATAATAGCTAGTATTTTTATTACCCTTTAAGCCTTTAATTAAATAGCTTAATAAATTAATAGGCTTATATACTTTAAATTACTAATTTCTTTATTAATACTTAAAAAATTATTAATATTATACCCTTTTTACTTATAGAACCTATTTTAGCTATTTTAATTTCTTTTTAATATTATCCCCTTTTATTTAATTACTTCTCTATTTATACTTTATTTAATAGTAATAATATATATTACTTTTATATAGATTAATATAACTATATATATAGTATCTCTTATAGTTTAATATTAATAGCTTTAAGTATAAAATTAATTTATTTAATAGGTTAAGAAACTTAAAGTCTTTTAAATCTATTTAATTTTAAGCTATCTTTATAATTAATATAATAGCTTTATTAATTGCCTTTATTTATATAGGTTAAATTATTAAATATTTTATCTTTAAATATTTAAATATCTTATTAACTATATAGCTAAAATTATAAACCTTATATATAATAAATAATAAGTCTTATATATAGATAAATAGATTTATTATAATAGCTATTTTAATATTATATTATATTATAAATTAGGCTTATTAAGTTAATAGCTACTTACTTTAATTATTTAGGGTTTTTTTTATAATAAATTATTTTTATTTTTAGTATTTACTTAACTTATATTTACTTTTTTAATAAAGTCTTTACCTTTATTTTACTTTATATTAATTAAACCTTAATTATATAAACTTTATTTTAGTAATAAGTAAATAATAAATTTAGTTTTTATACCTTAATATTTAATTATTATTTTTTAAAACCTAAATAAAATTAAATATAAGTATTTTAGTATTATTTTTATAGTAATTATTTTTTCTTTAACTTTAAAAAGTTTAATAGTCTTTATA